AGGGTATCCTACATGTCTCGAGTTCTTAGAACTCGTAAAATTATTTTTGTTTTTTCCTTAAAAGGGATACCTCCTCTTAGGCCCAGTTTCACAAGTGTCGGTAATTTTTAATCTTAGATTAACTCACTCTTCGTCTCCTTCTAACGTCCCCCTTAGAAAGAGACGAAGAGTGTGAGTTAATCTAGGGTTAAAAGTTAACCGACATTGCAGTTGTGAAACTGGGCCTGGGGTAATCGGGATCGAACTCATGATCCCTGGCATACGAGTCTATCGCACTCACACTGAGCTACGAGACATCCCCTGGACATTACAGACGAGAAAGACGAGCGACAAAAGCGCATTCGTAGCACAGCTCGCAGCGAATCGAAAATTCCATTTGACTGGCCCGGTATACCGGCAGTCCTTCTCGGGATTCTCTCGGTAGGATTGTGTCATCGCGAATTTAACGGTTTAAAAATGCGACCGGCATTTCGAGAGGCGAAATGTCTCATGTGACGCGTTTCGCTTTCCAAGGACAATGATCGACGGTGGTGATGAAACGATCAATGGATCGCGTGTCCGTGCTCTTAATGATACCGCGCTCCGTACTGCCACTTCTGATTCACGCGAGGGGGCCCGTTGGGCTACACGGGCGATTGCGCGTCTCGGACGTGCAAGCGCGACGCTGAATTTTCTCGGTATCGTCACGTCTACTGTAAAAGCACGAAACAAATATTTCTTCGAGTCCCGTTGCAAAGAGCCGCGCGCTGCCGGGGCCCCTTTTCGCATTCCCGTTAACCCTGCTCCTCCTCGTCTGATGCGATCGTAATCGGTCTGCCGTCGTTCACCTAATCCGCTTCTCCCAATTAGGAATGTTTGAGCGTGTCGCGAGTCGTCGATTTGTAAGAAACGGAACGCTCTCCGCAGATGCTACCGCACGAATCACGCTTCCGTTATAGCAAGGTTTGCCCAAGGTAAGGTTTCGCTACACTTTCGTAACGTGATAACTGTAACTTCGAAAAAAAAAAAACGATTTCTTGACATCTTCGCGGATGGAATTTCCTCTTATAATTAGTTTTAGTCTCGGGTCAGTCCCATTAAAAGGAAAGGCGGTGAATCTGGGACGTCTTGCGCGCAGGATTCCTTTCTATGAAGCCCGGTATCTCTGATAAAAGATTTCACACGCGACGCTCGAGTGTCGAAACTTCGACCGTATAGCAGAGCAACAATGCCATTGTTCGACAGAACAGAAATAGGCAATTTGTGTTTTATGCACATCAGCTCAACGAGTGAAATAAGATTAATTAACATTACCGTCGGGAAAAATATAATTGTGATAATGATAAGAACAATCAACATTGGCGCTAATGATTTGTACACACCATAATTCTCTAACAATAAGTCTTAGCATATTTGGTTCAATAAATGGACGGAAAGTAATTATTATCATAAATAACGAAAAAGAATAAAGGAGACACGTATTAGCGGTTCCTCAAGTTCGTGCCAAGAGGTAATTATCACAAGTATCTTGCGTGATATCATCGTGTGTATATTTATCGGATAAGCATAATGATATCCACTAAATTGCCGATCCATTAAACTTTGCCGCGATCGGAAATTTAACGGCACTTGAAAGATTCCGCTCCTTCCCGGCGGATTTTCTTTACACTTATAATCGAGTTTTCGTTTCTTTCTTCAAGTTAATTGGGGCATTGCGCATTGATTGCGAAAGTAAACTCGATTAAACGTGATAGCATGACTAAAGAGAAAAAAAAACCTAGAAACAACAAAAGCACGTTCCCACGAATTACGGTCTAAATAATACCAAAATCATACGTTTCACGTCAGAAAAGAGTATAAGGACTTTCTTGCTTCTATTATAGAGGTTTTTTTAATGACTCGGGGGACTTGTCCGTCAAGTTATTTTTTCGCGAAGAAATAGTATTTTATCAGAAAATAATAAATCTCGCGTAGATCGTTAAAATGCCGTCTCTAGTTCTTCTCTCCGCCTTCGGTGATTTCCCTTTTCCACCGCTCTCCCTCGCTCGCGCTACCGCTTATTTTGTGGAGCAGCTTTAGCGAGCAAAAAGCCGAGCGGCACGCTCACCTAAGTGACCATCGCGCGCGAACGGCTGGTACTCCTCCGATCTCCCGAAGGTCTTTCCGATTTTCCTTTTGTCGGTTTCTCCCGTCGCGGTCCGGCAGACCAGTCCGACGACGGCGTGGTATGGATTCTCGTGCCTCTCCGTCTTGTTCTTCGCAAAACGAGTATCAGCCGGCGGATCAGTGTCGCTTTATTTTCACGAGTCATGAGAATGTATGTAAATTAACTCTTGCCAGCTCATTTCCATAGCTTCATTAAGCGGCCCGTATACCCGCGGTCGTTCTCGTTCCCATCCTCTTCGATTTAGAGGTATTCGAGACGAGACATCCTGCGCCGCTTCTTTTGCCATCCACTTCGACGTGCAGCGTCGGTCAGAACTGGGTCGTAAGGTCAGGATATGCTCGCCGACCCAATCGCCGACGGCTTGGCCCGTAAAGAAACGGGCATTAACCTTGTCCAAGATGGTAAAGAACAACGGTAGACGGAATGACCGAGTATGCGGTTCGTCTGGGAAGCGTCATCCGGAATACCGAACGTCGAATTGGAACTTTGTTGAAGTTAATAAGCGTTCTCTTGAACAATTAACTAGAAGAATACGGCTTAGTCTGCCACTGAGACCCGTTACCTCTGAACGCTAATGGAAAACTATGCGTGCCACGACATCTTTGTTGAGGAAAAATTGCCTCCAAGTTGGCCACCAAGTTGGTCTGTCGTTAAAAAATAACATGGCAGAAGTGGGACGCCTTGTATGTACGTGACGCGACATAAAATGTCACGTAGTCATTGCAAATACAACGTTCCCGAGACCAGGTGCTAAGAGGGTTAAAGTGTCACCATTTTCCAGTTGATTCCGCGCGGCAATCTATTGTACATCACAGTCTACTTCCTGTCTATTTTATATTGCGGGAATATATTGGGGGAAAAAACCATAAATTGCTTATGACGCTATTAAAAAGACATTTCGATCAAATGAGATGAATGTGGCAGTTTCGCGTTTCAGGAATCCGACAGATAAGAAACGATTTAGGACGACGCGAATGACAATTTTCACGCACACACGCTCTGACTGTCGCTAGATATAAAATTATCTTAAGGTTGCGTACATATCCGTGCATAATGTTACAAACGCAGGAATCCTCCGAGTCATTCTAAACGATTACAGTATTCTTCACCGAGAAAAGAAGGACGGGAATTGTGAAGTTTAGTACAGTATTCTTTTACGTTCTCTTCGCGCAGAAAGTGTACGTGATATCGACGTATCTCAACCATCTTAAGAGACACAATAGAATTCACTCATAAATAAACATAGAGTGTCTTAATTTTCCAACAAAAAGTTGAGTAGTTATATGCAAATCCATGACCCGTATATTTTTAAACATATTCTAACATTACAAAGAGCTGAGAATTCTGTCAATGAGTTTTACTGTTTCCCAAGCTTTAGCGGTGTTGCAAAAATGGCATTTAATAAAACATAGAATATTAAATTACTGAAACACTCGTTCTCTAATTCAGTACATTTTATTTTCTCTAGAGTCTCTAGATTATCGTGGAATTTTTGATATTCTGGGTTTAATACAAAAGCGATTAAACTTTCTTCGTAGTTTTCACGAGACGCGGACTCTTCATGTATCACGTTTAATTAAACCTTCCTTATCGATGTCCTCGGCGAATTGTATCATTAATTTAATGCTTTATTCTTTTTAAAAGACTAACAGTTTTAGTTCTCTCACGAAGCCTTAATTGCGAACATGTCCGCTCTTGGACACGGCATTAACTGTCTTCTGCGTTAACATTTTCAGTGGCATTAAGTTGTACTTGTAAAAGGGAAAACATGGAAATCACACCGCGTATTTAAATTAAATACCTTCACAGCGAATGGCACATTTACTGACACGCACGACTGCGGTTGCGTGTTCTGCCAGTCGCAATATTTTATCGATCGCTTTTATGTAAATTATATGTTATATTATAAATTATGAATATGCGTGCAAAGTTCATATATAGTTACGGGCTTTTAACACCGCTGTAACGTTCGAAGTAGGTTTACAATGATTGAAGATGTTATCACGTTCGTCTTTATAGCCTTCAGCTATCTAACACTATATGGAATGTTATTACTTGTTTTATTACGCTAAAAATATCTTTGCGGCTTATTTGATTGCTTTTTTTAAAACTATTTTACGATTTTCTTTTCTGATGAAGAGAAGAAAATAAACTTTTTTGTCTAAAGCTTTTCTCATCAAAACTCAACAGCTATCATTTACTACATTTACTACTCTGTTAAAAAAAAATGGCTCGAGATCTATCAAAGAATCGCAAATTACATTTGTCATTTTTTTTATCCGATCATCCAATCAACAGAATCTTATATGATGACAGCCCCCTGAAAAATCCGACAAGTGGTCTCCCGGGGGCCTCAGTTGCCTAGTCGGCGAAAGAAAATCTGATGACAATACACTTGCTACCGATCATAATTGAATTCCGGTAGAACCGGTAATATGAGCAATGAAGTCTAAAAAGCGGGAATACCTATGATTTTATCAAGTGTAAAATATTGCCATAGCGTTCCAGGAAATTGTTATTCAGGCGTTATACTATAATAATGATAACGGTCGCGAGCCGTGGACCGGGAAAGCCGTTATAAGTATTCGCATTAACGTACTGAAACGCTCTTTTAATCATTGAATGAGCCTTAGAATTAGAGAACTTTAAGTACAGCCTCGCGGAATATAACCGACAATGCTGCAGCTCAATTAGTCAAAACCCATTAGCTTTAATAGCAAATTATTCTTTAATTATTTCAATTTCCACATAATGTTAATTAACTCTGTTTAAATTAAATTTGCTAACTCAAAACACGACGCAAAGCGAAATTTATTTATATGTGTCTTTTTATTATATAACAATGATATTTCAGCAGAACCCGTTGCGGGACAGGTGTTATCGTCCTTCGACGAAAGTTTGGACGAAAGGAACGACGCGGAAATTTTTCGCGCGGTCGTCGAATCAATGCGAAGATGGACGCTTCACAAAAAGCTCAATCACAGAGGAAAAAGAGAGGTGTCCAAGGTTTGCTACGAGGACATCGGGTGCTTCGAGGATACCGGGCCCTTCAGTTACCTGGAGATGCTACCGTCACCGCCAAAAGACGTTGGAACCAGGTAAGATAGATGAGAGAAGACTATACAGTGGGTGTAAAAAGTATTCGTACACTAGGAATTTTCAGAAGATAGTTTATTTCTGCGTGATAATAAATAAACAAATAATTTTTTTCATATTATAAAGTCTCTTTTTCTTTAAGATTATCATTTTTGTTTATTATTTATTATTACACAAAAATAAACTATTTTCTGTAAAAATTCTTAGTGTACGAATACTTTTTATACCCGCTGTATCTGATATAGCATCTGGAAGATACGCGATGTTTGTGCAAACTCTGTTACGAAAAGTCTGGTATTACTTGATGTTACGCGATAACGTTTTACGTGAGACCGTGACTGCAATATAAAATATTTTTATATCGTATAGAATTATATAATCGCGGGTATTCATTCATTCATTCAATAGATTCATCGTATACGGAAGTAGAAAGGCAAGAGCGATCCCCATGGAGGTGCCTGCCGACGATATAGACGACAGCGTCCACCGTGCCATAGATCCTAATCTCCCGACGAAAGTAATCGTTCATGGATTTGGAAGTGACTGCAACCACTTGTGGGTTTACGATATGCGATCCGCGTTAATGAGCATTCACGATTGCAATATAGGTATTTATGTAACGAAATTTACGTAATTATTTAAATGGTTCGTATGGAAGAGATTTAAACCTGGCATACATCTTTTATATCTATGCAAGAATTTGCAGAAAGTCCAACGATATAAATGCTGCCTCTATATTTATTCCACAGAATAAAATAAAAATACATTTAAATAAAATAATAAAATTGCTTAAAATTGCTAAAATATTTTTATTTTATTAATTGCGTACTAAAAATGTGGCAATTATTTATTACTAAATTTATATTTTTTAACGATAATACTACAATCGTAAAGCTTGTCAAATTTACATGCAGAATTATACGTTGTTTGCGCAATAAGATATAACCATAATTTATAATGAATCCGTTAATATTCACTCTCTCTCTCTAATAACAATTAAATATATAACAATCAAATAATCGCGATTTCATCTTAGATATAATTAGATTCTCCGACAAATGTTAATTACATAACTATGTACCATTCTAGTTTGCGTGGATTGGGGTCCCGGTAGCGCCGTACCCAATTACGTAAGGGCAGCGGCCAATACACGACTAGTTGGCCGACAATTGGCAAAATTAATTCGCAGCTTTAACGTGCCGCTGGAAAAAGTGCACATGATTGGATTCAGCCTGGGAGCCCATGTGGCCGGTTTTGCCGGTGCTGAGCTTGGAAATGTGTCCAGAATTACCGGTAAGTCTCGACGTCAAATACTCGACGCATGATTTTAAGATTTTATCAGCTAAAATTATGTAAAAAATGATATTTAACAGTATATAAATCGACAGATATATAAATAAATGCGTTTTTCATGAAATTTGCACGAATCAATTCTTCAGGTATCATCATGTGATCTCCCGTCAATTTTGAAACGAGACTAAATTTCTTTTTAAGTGTCTATAAATATCGGAATATAGTAGTAGTTAGTAATGGAACAGTAATCTTTGCATAATAAGCTCCACGAAGAAACTTTAATTTCTATAAAATTGCTAAAATATTTCTGACCGGTTTAATTGAGAAAGAATGTTGCGTATACCGTATATTTTAAATTAATAAATCCTCTACTTTAAACGACTATTTTTATCTAATAAAAAGAAATGAATTTAAACAATACATTTCTTAATCGCGCATTCATCATGATGCATTTATCGCTCTATCAATCTGTCTATCTTGGTGACATTTACCGTGACAGTTACTGTTTCCGCTACGGCATTGTAACTCGGGTTCATTGTATTCGTCTGTATTGATTTAAAGCGGCGATTGGCATCTTACGCGTGAATTTCTCACGCGTAAGACACCTCGCGACAATCCAGCCGATCGGGCACGAATAATTGAGCCGTGTAATCGATTATTAGAGAGTAACTGTAACAAGGTCCCGCTCTCGGCAACCATTTCGATGCATTTAAATGCTCGCTGCATTCTCTGCCTCTTACCTCGACACGCGCCGATGCCTTTTCAATCGAATACCAGCACGGTGAATTGTCGATCGTGCGTCTTTTTTATTATGTAGCTTCGTGTTCGTAATCGGGCCTTCTTTCCCCGACGTCTTTCGACAAAATGGGACGAGGATTTCTCAAACCTCGGATTATTATCGGAGCAAACGATATTCCTTCCGCCGACACGTTTCATGCTTTTTCGACGCTATTTCACATAGAATTAAGAAACAATCCTTTTCGTAATTCGACCCTAATTCGTCGTCACGAGCATTTTATCGGCTTCAAGGCGAATTGTGTTTTTTAATTGTATTTGCTTGTCTTTTTACGCGATCCCTCTTAATATTTTTGCGCGGATTTCGACAAAGAGAAACGAGCATTTCCCAACCTTGGAGAAATAAGTTATGCCCTTCTATCAATATTAATATTTAATGCTTTTCCAAGGCTGTTTATTTAGCGTAAAATAAAAAAAAAACAATTTTCGCAATTTTGATTCCGATAGGTACGTTCACCATCGCGAAGGCATGTATAATAAATGAATAGCCGGTTACGCGTGGTGCGTTATTAAGTAAAAGCGTTTCTATAATGACTTCGTACCTGTAGGAGTAACCGGTTGATATTTTTACCGCATACGTATTTACTATATTATTTAGTATATTCAGAATCCGAATGCATATCCATAATGCTGGCGGACTCTATTGGAAACTGAAATGAAATTTCTCCTAAAATCTAATAATAATCTTAGATCGCGGAGACCAGGAACCGAGTTATTTCCTACAACTTTTTCCAGATCAATATAACGTTTCTCTGTTTTTTATAGTCTTATAGTCACTATCTTATAGGCGTTAAGTATATCTCGTAGAGAAACTCGTGGATAAGGATTATAAAATAAATTTCGCTTTCGTGCGTAAAATAGGTTTAGATCCTGCGGGACCGCTTTTCGAGTCGCAGGATCCGAGGGTTCGCCTGGACGCGACGGATGCGAAGTTCGTCGACGTTATTCACAGCAACGGTGAGCAGCTCATCTTGGGCGGTCTCGGTTCCTGGCAGCCCATGGGCGACGTTGATTATTATCCGAATGGAGGAAAAATGCAAAACGGATGCTCGAACATCTTCGTCGGCGCCGTGTCCGATATTATCTGGTGTAAGTTCACTTCGGGGTTCAACGTCGCGATCAAGAAAGATTGAAAATAATGAAAATATAAACAAATCTCTATTTCTTGATAACGCGATCGTTACTTTTATAGCGAGCACGGTCGAGGGCAGATCGTTGTGCAACCATCGGCGGGCGTACAAGTTCTTTACCGATTCCGTAAGCCCGAAGTGCCGATTCCCGGCGTTTCCCTGCGACCACGGTTACGAGGGCCTGCTGAAGGGTGACTGTTTCCCTTGCGGCACGGACGGCGCGGATCGACCCTGCGGCGACATGGGCTATTACAGCAACGAGTCGCCCGCCAGGGGCCAGCTTTACCTAGTGACGAGAGACGAGGAGCCCTTCTGCGCCCATCAGTACCAGATCAAGGTGTACAACAGCCGGAGCGAGAGATCCGCCAAGAGCTACGGGAAGCTTCAGGTGAAGAGTTTTTTTTGGCGAATATAGCGACGAATAGGAGATTCAATTTTTCTCCTGTAAATTTATCATAATTTATTACATATTTATTGCTAGAAATTAGAAATTGGACATTAGAAATTACTCCCGTTTTGTTTTGGATACAAGCAGCTTTCACGAATCTATTTCTCCAAAACTACAACGTTTCTTGTCTCGTCCTTTATTAATAAAAGATCGAAGATAAATTTTGAAAGTCCTAAAATCTTTTTCTTGGCAGATGTAGGTGTCAGTCTTACGCGGATTTCCGTTCTTTCAGGTCACGCTTGTGGGAAAAGGTTCGTACAACGACACGTTCGCGATGACTCGCAAGGACGAAGAGCTCTTGGTAGGAGCCATCCTTCAGAAAATTGTCGTGCCGCAACCCGCGGTTACCCATCTCGAAGCGATCGAAGTAAGTATGGTCAATAATTATATTTTCTTTCTGATAATTAAATTTTGGCGCAGATAGAAGATAATTGATATTCCTGCGCTGACCGTAATCACAGTTCTACTTTAAAATCACTATAACTAATTGTTGGTTTATATTTGAGGAGCCAGACACCTTTATCAAAGTAATCTATTAAATTTCGCATTCTTATTAAATCAGAGTTGACAATACAAACTTGAAAATGCCGAAAACAGCAATTGGTTCTATATTACGTAACTACGTATCGAATTATGTAATTATTTCAATAATGTTACGTCAACAGATCAAATACACGGCGTATAGCGGCTGGATATCGTCCGGCTTGGTGTCCTGGACTATCGACAAAGTGGCCATAACCGACAGTTTCGGCAAGGTCCTGTCGGTCTGCAAGAAAGGCTTGATCCTAGAATCCGGCCGGCCGGTCTACCTGCCCCTTTTCCCCGGCGAATGCAACATACCCTTGGACACCGAAAACTCCACCGCCTCGTCTTCCGCGGTACCGACCCTCGAACGCGCAGAGATCGACGACAGGCAGGGCGGCATAGGACCCTTCACGAAGGAGCAAAACTACGAGACGAAGGATCCCGGATACTCCGCGGAGATCCCGCCGACGGACAGAACGTCGCAGAGACGTGGTGGCCTCGGTCCGTTTACGAAGGAGCAGAATCGGCGCGTAGGCGCCGAGATCGAGACGGCGACGACCTTCAACGAGAACGAGGAGAGCCGGCGCAACGTCGCAAACCCGTGGACCGTCCTGGACATATCCGGCGACGGCGACTCCAACTCGCTGGAGAACAGCGAGTCGGAGCAAGGACGGAGCTTCTCGGGCGCCGCGAACCTGATATACCGCACCTCGACGGCGTCGGAACGCGTCGCCGAGACTACCGCGACCACGGTCCCCACGACCACGGAGTACCTGCCGGAGATCAGGGAACCGGTGCTGCGGCCGAGCAAGAAGGACGCCGGCCGATCGCTCAAGTTGCCCGAGATCACGGAACCGATCCTACGTCCGCGCGCCACCAGGCACAACACGCGGAACGAGGTGGTGCCGCAACAGCATCAGCGCGACGAGATACAAGAGACGTCGTCGACCTCCACGAGACCGTTGTTCACCGTGCAGTTTCTACCCGAGCGACTAGCCGGGATCCTGGCGCAGGCGGAACGATACGCGCGGCAGACCCTGCTGCCCTTTATCTCGCAGTACACGCCGAGCTTCGTGACCGGTATTCGGCACGAAGAGCCCAAGTATTTTCCTCTCTTGACTGACCTAGTGCGTCCGAGGAGCGCCGACAGCACCACCGAGACCGGCAGGACGACGACCAGTCCGCCACCGCGACCAAAGAACGGTGACCAAATCTCGCGAGTGTACATCGGCCAGCGCAAGTCCGACAAGTCGTTCAGCATCAAAGACGGACGTAATGAGACCATCTCAAGCGCGCAAGTGGAGAACGGCAAGAACCAGTATACCGAGTCGAGAGCCGAAGTGTCGCCGGTGATAGTCGAGGCCGTGTATCCGGAGAAATTAGCCAACGCTAGCTCCACCGGTCTCGAGGCGAAAGCGACGAGCGAGGGTAGCGATTGGCAGCCGATCGGTGAATCGACAACCCCTTTGAAGAGCCCTCCGTCCCGAAGGGAATCGAACTTCTCGCGGTCGCTGGACTGGTCGGCCGACATCAGCCGCGACTGGACCTCGCGAACGGTGAACGGAAATGCGGAAGCCGAGGTCAAGTCTGATGACGACTGGATACCGATCACGATCAGGAGCGACACTGTCTCGACGACCGCGCGGGCTGCGGCTTTGGGCGAAGAAACGGCGGCGACGGCGACTCAAGGGACCAAGACCGACATCGTTAACAATTCGCGGAAATCCGCCGAGGATGATGCCCTCGATGAAATCGAAGAGGAAGCTACGACCGTCGCGAACACGTACGAGAGGAAATTCATTCCTCTGGTTGACTTGGAGGCGACGACCTCCGATAGCCCGCCCTCGTCGACCGACGCTAACGACGTTCCGGGATCCACGACGGCCGCCTCGCATATCCAGAAGATACCGCGATACAAGACGACAGTAAAAAGTGCCAGAACGATAATGAACCCCGTGATGATGTTCCCGTATGCCTACGAGCGGAAAAATGATCCTAGAACGAGATACATACCGCTGATCCCGGAAGAGGATATGGGCAGGGCATATCCGATGTCCGAGAGGAAGCGTTAATAACACGTTCGTTTAAGAATGATTAAAAAAAATAAGACTCAAAGATTCTTTTTCTTACATTGAATCATTCGCGAAACGCAAGATTATATCTGTTAAAAGCTATTCGATAATTCGATATTGTTATCACGATCGGAAAACGAGCTTCTTATTTCTTCGGCAAAATTCAGAATTATTTTTATAGGGTCATTTTGTCATTTATTGTAAAAACAATATCAAAAATCCGGAAATCTAGGAGATTTGAGATTTTGAGAAACGGAAGATCAGTCGTAACTTGGAATTATTTTCATCAGACAATAATGTTTGCATGGTTCGTATTTTTAAAAGATAGGAGCTATGCGTCATTTTCCCGGTTAACAAAATCGCGAACCCTCAATACTATTTGGTTCAAATTATAAGAAATTGAAGCTACTACAGAAATATTTTTTTATCGATGTTCATTTCCCAGTCGGAAATGATATATGGTTTAATTTATAATAAAATTTTCAAAGTAAATTTTGAGATAAAATTTTGTCGCAAAGTACAACCAATAGTCTGTGATGAGAAATAATGCGATTTAAAATCAGTATTCGGACATTCTCCTTATCTCTTGCCTCAAAATTAAACGCGCTATTTCTCGTGTGACGGTGATAAAATATTAGATGTAGAAAAATGCAAGTGCAATTTTTGGCAAAGTGAAATATTGTGCCTTATGATAGTTATTGATATAAACTAATGCTTTTTAATGAGTTTTATAAATAACCCTGTTGAAACTGCAAAAATTAGGATTGTTAAGATTTAATGATTTTAGAAAAAATCTTTAATAACTTTCCTTTTTCTTTTTGATAAAAATTGGGAGCCCTTAACTTTATTATCTTTGTATATATATATAGGAATTTTTTACATAGCTATATATATATATTTATATATATACAACACACATATATATAGCTTCGCCTTTTACTATTAATCATTATAACTATTATTATCATCGCCGTCATCGCCGCCATTAATTCTTTTTCCACGCTTATTTATGCCCAATCTATGAGTAATGATCAATGATCACGAGAAAATCGGGTATTCACAGCGCTCGTTATTTTATATATATATATAATGTAACATACATATATATATAAAATTTATACTGTATATATCTCGACGACCAACGCGGAAAGCCACGAGGGAACCCGAGATATCGCGCGTACCCTCTTCATAGTATAATAATAATATAAAGAGCTAGAAGATACGGGACTACATCGGTAGCAATCGTAGATTCTAGACAACAGTTGAAAAGTATGGAAGAGACGATGTAGTTTTGCGTAGATTTATATATATAGATATATAATCTTTAATATAACTGTTTTTACTTAAAATAAATAACCCATATCTTTCTTTTTTTTTTAAATGCGCCTCTCGGTCCGCTAACTCCGCTCTTCTTTCTCTCTCTCCCCCTCTCCTCTCTCCTCACTCTCACACGCTCTCGCACTCGTAACATATATCCCATAACTCGATCCATTTACTCCATCATTCCGTAAACCACGCATTTATTGCCCTTTATCGATCAGGTTGAATCTCAGGATATGCCCATATTCCTGATATGTCCGCATGCTTAAGAACTAACTCGTTCGCAGTCCTTCCTTCGCTTCGATTGTTCAGGTACCGATTGACGCATCGAGGAGAAGACGAAGGCCCCGATTCGACGAGCGAAAATTAAAACAAGAAAACAAATATGAAAGAAACGCAAAGAAAAGACACACGGCGCGCATCCTATTGTACACGAGGAAGAAGAGACTGCGAATATCGTTGACGCGATTTTCTATTTACATACGACTTATTACATGACGAACGCACAGTCTTATGCAGTAAACCCGTGAGCGAACTTCGACAAGTAAAAAGATATCGTCACATTAGTCTATCACTCTACGATCGTAGATTTGGTTCGACTCGCTGTCTGAGCGACAAAACGATTCACGTTATATATGCGAAAGTCGTAGCTACCTACATAGATATCGTTTTTGGACGTGTACACTTCCTTTCTGTAACGCACACATACACACACGCACACGCATACATATCGATGCGGTGCATCTTCATTCACTCTGCCTCGTACGCTATCACTCACTTCTTCATTGTATAAATATAACGTTTCAAAAAAAAAGAACACCGTGCGCAATCAGAGTGCCCGGTTTCATCTCACGCTCACTTCATGCTCGCCGTTTCAATCTTAAAGTACAACTACAAGTTCTAGCGCTACAACGTACAAAAGATAAGGCCGCCACATTAATACACTGACTAGATCAGTTTCATATATTCTCTTTTCAAAGTGGACAAAACTCTGTCGGCTACGCGCAACACGTCAACAAGAATATCCAGGACACGGTACCTCTGCCAACAAAAAAATATATGTATATATGCATTATTGTTATATATCTCCGGCACTTTGTATCGCGCATCCCGAACTATTAATGCCATGACACGCGAAACTGCGAATCGCTGAACAAGCACGTAGCAATGTCGATGAACTTCGCGTTGCGTCGACGTCGATACGTCAAAAGACAAAATGAGAATCTCGCAAACGCGATGTTAGGCCTCTGTAGACGTGGAACTTAAGGGCTTTCGCTTGATCTCTCACTGCAACATGCTAGATAACGAATATCAAAAGGAAAAGTTACACAAATCTCTCATCGTATATCCAATAAATATCTGCACCATCGAATATCATACTCAATAAAATAAATTTCAATAAAATAAATATATATATTTTCTTACCTAAATAAATACCTAAATAACTATATTTAAATTTATACACGATATGTATTGACATAAATTCATTTTTTGATAGTTAATCAAGATTTATATATATTATTTTATTAATTGAAAAGAGAGATTTCAAAATTCTATTAAATATGAATGGTTGGATATAGTAAAACTCAATTCATCTTGTATACATAGGAAGACTAAATCCAGTATGGCTGCAGTAATAAATCAGCGAACCCTTATGTACAAAAATAAAAATTAAAAATTGATAGAACCAACACATTAATAACACGTTATGAAAGAAGAAAAAACACAAGACAATCCGGCAAAGTTAACCGTATCTTCAAAAAATTAAGAATGGCGAGATAAGAACCTTTGGCTTGTCGACCCGCCTATTCGACTTAAACAAAAGAAGTCATATCGCCCTTATTCGTCGTCGATCTGTGTATAGCTACTCTTCCGGTGATCGGTAATACCCATGATTCGTGTGCATAAGGACGGAGATGGCTACTAGGAACTGCGAGGCACTGCAAAATGTGTGTCAATCGCGAGCAACCGATTATCGTTAACACTCGGCGCTAATCTCGAACGCAGTTTTCTAACGAAATTCTCGCTGCTGCTTCGTTCTTATCCCTTTCTCCCTCTCTATCTTTTTCGAACGGCGCATCGTTGTAGCCAAATTGCATGAAACGCGACTCGTGTTGCATATAAAAGATTCTGTATTAATGGCTCCGCCAAATTTCAGTCGTACAGCTCAATAATGTATGTATGTAGATTATCAAAAAACATCACAGTCAGGTTACTAGGTTGTTTTTTAGAGAAGTGTCTGTAAGCACGCTGCACGCGCGTTATCAACTATCTTGCCTACGAAGTCACGAGTGACGCGCCGGTACTATATAATTGCCCTTTTCACCCTCTCTAATCTTTCATGCGCAATAAGACCGATTGCTATTATCTTTAATGTAACGTTACTGTCTGTTCTTCACTCTCAGCTACATGTAAGAAACGCTAATTACGCGTAATGTCCCAGAATTTTCGCCATCTTCACGAATGACGGCGAGCCTCTGTCGAATCCATCTCCAGGACCTGTATTGCGTTTCATTGTACATACGATTCTTTTCACGCGGACGCTGCTTGAACGTCGAAGAGAAACGATAAGAAATTGCCAAGAGCCTCACGCGTAATATCACTTCTTGTCGAATAACGCAAGTTTACTGCGCACGGCACCTTCGCACACGACTAGCCGTTGCGCGGCCGAGATGCTGCTGATGGGCACGGGCCCTTCTAGACTGGCTCGTAGCAGGGTCAGGCGGCTAGGACCAGCAGCGTCGCCGTGATCGCCGAGTCTACCCGCTTGCTTCCTTTCGAAGTACTCGACGATCTTCGAGATGGTCTTGCTCGACGAGCCGATACCATTCAATCGGTCCTCCCAGAGGGAATCGCCGCCGCCTAAGCTGGCAATGTCCTCGGAGGAGTCCGTGTAAATCGAACTGGTCCGATGGTCGTCCAGCAGGAATAGACTGCTCGCTGCCGAACTGCTAAGGGTCGATGTATGCCGTCGATTCGGCGGCTCTGGACTCAGATCCTCACCGACGCAGCTCCAGAAGCCTGATTCGCAGCTGCCGCGTCTCCGCGGCTCCCAACCGTCTCGGAAGAGCGGATGGGCGAACAGGCTCGCGGCTCCCACCTTGGTAGCAACCTAAAAACATACGTGTACATGCGTTAGTATATATAATAACAGCACAATATCTTCACAAACGTTTACAATAATTGAAACTTTAAACTTGTGTAATACAACAAAGTGCTTTTAATCTAAGGATTACGCTTAATCATTTATGCTCTGTGCATTAATCTGTGCACCTACCTTTCTCTCCCATTTTTTTCTGGCAGTAGGACTGCTCGGTTCAGAATTTGGCTTCTTTCTGTCCAGAATTTTAGCAATGCTATCGTTTTGCGCCGGCTTGAACTTGCTGCACGCGCTGTCGGTGACGCTTGGTCGCACGTCCTCCAACGAGGGCAGCTCCAGACAGCTGGAGAACAAGTCGCCGAGGATTTTCTTGACGCCGCCCAATGCGTGAAACGGATTCGCCGTCATCGGCCTGTAATGCGGATCGCGGCGGCTGGCGAGCTCGCCCACTCGCCTGGCGGAATGGCATCTCGCCTTATCTGACGGCGTCGCATTGTCACAACCTCTCGCGTCCGCCGATTGACTTCTGAGTTTTGCGGTACGCCGCTTCATCGTGCGTCCTTCCCGCGCAATTTCGTCCATGCTGGACATCAGCGTTGGATCGATGGTCGACTGCCGTTTACCGATGTTATTCTTCAACTCCTCCTCGCAGGACGCTATCATGGTCTCCAAGCTAGTCATGATTTCCGGAAAGGTCGGCCTGGACTTGGGTTCATACTGCAAATAAATAATCGCACCATTTGTAATCCGTAATTAATAAATACAAAATTCAATTAGTAAGACTTCATTTACTGATTGATAACGAATAATAAAATTTAATAACCATCTGCCTCAGATATTTCGTGCGTGCGTGTGTGCGTGCGTGCGTACATCGTACTCTCAATCTGGTAACAGCTACACTAATCTCCGATCATTCGCACCGTATCCGCGTTGCATGCCTTTACAGTTAGATATCATCATACTCACCGTGCAGCAATTGAAGGCGAGTTGGAGGAAGGCGGGCGGTGGATCGGCCGCCGCGCAGATCTCCGCCACGGCCAGGTAATCGAGGCCAAAGTTATCTGAGCGTGGCAGAACGTCCGGATCCGCCGGCACGCGGCCGATCAGCTCGCACACGACGATGCCGAAGGAGAATACGTCGGATCTGTGATCGTACCACTGGCCCTTGAGGCACTCGGGCGACATCCAGTAAGGGCTGCCGACGGTGCTGAGGCGGTAGCCTGTGCTGGGATCGGGTATCTTCGCGGCCAGACCGAAATCGCCCACCACCGCTGTCATCTCGTTGTTGCACTCGTCCTTCTTGATTAGCACGTTCTTCGACGTGAGATCGCGATGGAAGATGCCGCGGCTGTGTAGATAGGCCATACCGCGGGCTACGTCCCTCGCCAGATTCATCCGGACGAGATGCGGCAACGACGTGTGTCGCGACATGATCAGCTGCTCCAGGCTGCCGCCGTTAATGTACTCCGTTAACGCATGAAGCTGACCCTCGTGCACGCACACTCCCATGAACCTGAGAAGAAGAGATCGACCTTCAGAAGTGCGTCCTTT